ATTCTCCAATTCATGTCAGTTCATGTTGAATGCTGCTTTAATAATAAAATCCTCATTCACATTAAAGTACATTATAATATACACAAATGTGAATTCGTTGAAGGTAAATTGCAAGCGTCAAATATAGTTGAAGACCGACGGATATCGAATGTGTAAATACAACAGGAAAAGAGAAGGAAAATTAATCGCAAAGTTCAAAGTTGTATCATATTAGATGGGTTGATTAGTCTAGAGAGAATGATGTGATGAATTTACTAAAAGGGTAGAAATGCAGACGGCAGCTTCACCATAAAATAGTCAATATGTGAAATGGTTGAGATATAATAATAATAATAATAATAATAATAATAATAATAATAATAATAATAATAATAATGCGTATGATAAATTTTGAAGATATTGGATGATGATTGATAATGCAATGAAAATTCGGGGCATAACAGGATGCAAAACATAATTTTAACGAGTGGATGTGTCGGAAAATCTGGTTAAAATTGTTTTAAGACGAAAAAAGGGAATGAAGAAGAAATAAACAAGAAACATATCAGAACGAAAGAATGTTATTTATTTCAGTGGAAGACCAGGAGGAGAGTAATACATGTACATGTTCCTTTCGGTTGCAAAGTTCAAGCTTAGTTGGTCTTATTGTTGAAGCTTTCACTATGCTGAGAATACGTAAACGAGTGACACCGCTCTCCATGGGTCGAACTCCTGACCTTCAGGGTCCATGGTCAACACATATTTATCTCCTCCATGTCTCCCTCACCTCGGACGTCCAACTCGTCGCTTTCCATGGGGATTCCACTCGAGGGCCTGGCGCGTGATGTCCCCAATCGGCCGTCTAAGTGTATGCCCAATCCATCTCCACTTCCTTCTACATATTTGTTGAGCGATGGGTTCTTGGTTGGTTCGTTCCCAGAGCTCCTTGTTGCTTATTCTTTCTGGCAATCCATCTGATCTTCAGTGGCGAGCGTAAGCAGTTGTTGATGAATGTCTGCAGTTTATTGGAAATGCCTTTCGTAATGCTCCAAGTCTCTGAACCATATAGAAGCACTGACTTTACTGAATTGGTGTTGAAAATCCGGATCTTGTTCCGCATACTGAGTGCAGTGCAGAAGATCTCCACACTGGTTTCAGGTTAATGAACGCCTGTCTTGCTTTTCCGATTCTGACTTTGACATCCTCGTCTGTCCCGCCTGTATTTGAAAAAGTGCTTCCTAGATAGGTGAAGGAGGTTACTTCCTTTAAATTTCTCCTGTTGATGGTGATTGGAGTTTGTTGTTGTTGTTGGAGTTGTTGGTGCGGTATCTTCATCACCTCTGTCTTCTCTACGTTCACTTGCAGGTCCGTCTTCGCTGCCCTGCCCTGCCCTGCCTCTTCTATCAACTTGTTAGTTTTTGCCTGCAGATCTTCAAGTTTGTGTGACATCAGGCACAAGTCATCACTGGCGAAATCCGAGTCTTCTAGGTTCTTTTCCGCAGTCCAGCCAGCATATCCCCCTCTTCTCGCTCACCACTGTTTGCTGCATGATCCAGTCTACCACAATCAGTAAGATGATGGGTGATAGTAGGCAACCTTGTTTCACTCCTGTCTTCACTTCAAAATCATCACTGAGCTTTCCATTGTGAATTACTTGGTATGTGGTGTCTTCATATAGTTGTTGAATGAGGCGGATAAGGGTTTGCGGTATTCCGTAGTAATGAAGCAATTCCCAAATTACCTCTCGGTCGACGCTGTCAAAGGCCTTCTCAAAGTCGATAAAGTTGAGGTAGAGAGTTGACTGCCATTCTATACTGTTTTCATTGATGATGGTGCGAAGCGTTGCAATTTGGTCGGCACATGATTTCTACTTCCTGAAGCCTGCCTGTTCCGGTCGTAGTTTTGAATCTAGCGTATCCTTTAGTCTCTCCAGGATGATGCGGCTTAATATTTTGCTTGCTTTGGGTGGACAGGAGAGTGATTCCTCGCCAGTTCTTGCAAAGACTTAGGTCTCCCTTCTTCGGCAGTTTGACAAGGTACCCCTTCTTCCAATCAACCGATCATTACCTTTCCTTCCTTCCACACCTTATGCAATAGTGGTGTGGTGTGAGCATGTCTGCTGTTGTCTCTGCGTCTGTTTTCAGTGCTTGTGGCGGGGTCCCATCTGGTCCTGCTGCTTTCCCGCATTTCAGTAGCTTTATGGCGTTCAGGACTTCCATTTTCGTTGGAAGATTTATGTTCACTTGTATTTCCGCGGCTGTAGGTGGTATTTCTGGATGAAGTGCAGGTGGTGGTGGTAGTCGATTCAAGAGCTTCTTGAAGTGGTCGGCACATCGTTTCCTCTGTTTCTCTTCTTTTGTAATTAAATTTCCTTCTTCATCTTTTATTGGTTTCATCTGTGTTGGTCTCTTCCCTGATAGCAACCTGGTTATTTGATACAATGTCGTCAGGTCTCTCTTGCCAGCCGGCAGCCTGTTCTGCTTCACTTGCCAGTGTTTCGTAGAAGTGTCTTTTGTCTTCGCGTGCACTCTTCTTCACTTCTTTGTCCAGTGTTTTATACATTGTGCTCAGTTCCTCTTGTCGTTGTGCATCCATGCACTGACTTATCTTCCGCTTCACCATCCTCCTCTCCTCTATCAGCTTCCATGTGTCCGTAGAGATCCATTTCTTATCTTCTTTCTTCTTCCTTCCTGACACGGTTATGCAGGTTTCTTTCCACATAGCTTTCAAATACTTCCAGTGTTCTTCCACACAGGTTTCTTCAAGGATGTTGCTCGATATCTCCCACTTTGTCTTGATGGCTGGCTGCCGTGAAGATTTCCTTTGTAGTTTCATCCTTCAGTTTCTGTTCCGAGTGTTGTACTTGAACTGTGGTCTATCACCAGCTTCCTTGAAGGCTTTCAAATTGATTTGGAAGGTTTCTTGCACTAGATAGTGAGTAGTGTGAACCTACATCTGCTCCTCTTCTTGACCTTGTGTTAAGTAGACTGCGTCTCCATTTTCTTGAGATTGAGATAAAGTCGATTTGATTTTTAGTGTGTCCATCTGGTGAAATCCATGTCGCTTTTTGGATATCCTTGTGTTTGTACACACTGCCTCCAATCACCAAATCGTTGAATGCACAGAATTCTGCAAACAGTTCTCCATTCTCGTTCATTTCACCTAGCGCTTCTTGGCCCATGGTTAGTTCTCTTCCTGTGTTGCCCCCTTCCAGTCTGGCATTCATGTCACCCCACCCATTAGAATTTTGATATCGCCAACTGGAGTCTTGTCCATCACTGATTGCAAATGTCTGTACAACTCTTGATCAGCATTATTTGTTGGCGCGTAGCATTGTATGAGTGTGACTTTCCTTCCCTTTGAGTTGAATCTTACTGTCATGATCCTGGAGGAGGAGATTGGTTCCCACTGCATGAGAGTGAGCCTTTGATGTTGTTCAAGGGGACATTATGATAGCCACTCTCCCAGTGTGCTCGTGGTTGTCGTCTGGGTGAGTGGAGTAGATTATTGACTCTCCAGTTAAGAAAGAGTTTTGAGAGTCCACTTCCATTCCATCTGCTTTCGCATATTCCAATCACTTGTATGCCATATCTTCTCATCTCTTCCGCAATCTTGGCAGCCTTGTTGGGTTTAAACATGGTGCGGACATTGCATGTTCCCACGTTTACTTTTGCTTTGATCGAGGGAGAGAAGACACATCGGCCCAGCTAATTGGCTTCCCGAGGACAGGCTTTCACCAACTGGTGTCATTTCGTCTCTCCGATTCCAGTGAGGAATAATTTTGTTATTATTTTTTATATATCGTTTGTGCTTTGAAGTTTCTTTAGCGGTTAGATTTGTTTTACGGGGTAGGGTTGCTAGCCCTATGCCCAACCTTCCCTCTCTATCCGGTGTTAGGACCGGCTAGTAACTAGTGAACTAGTTAACCTGGTGAGGTTGTCAATAGTGATTGGTGTTTGATATTATTCTTGTTGTTGGTTGGTTATCTTCATCATCTCCGTTTTCTCTACATTCACTTGAAGTTCTGTCTTCGCTGCCCTGCCTCTTCCGCCAACTTGTTAGTTTTCGCCTGTAGAACTTCGGGATATCCATGTGGAAGCATGTCATTAATGAACGCCAGACAGTAAAGTACTTTCAGGTTACTGGGGATTTGTATTTTAAGATAAGGTTTTCGATAATAATAGTAATAATGTAGTCATTTTTGTTGAGATAAAAACGACGCTTTTGGTCAACTTTCATTTCCCTTCTATTTATATATATAGAAACAGGTAGTTACCTTATTTTCCCTCCACATTTCTAACTCTTTATGACTTCCCTTCCAACTCACCCCCACCCTTCCGTTTCATTGTTGTACCCTTCATATCATACACTTTTACGATAAAACAGTTTTTAGTTGAATTTGGGGATTGGTGCGGATATATTGATTTCAAGTTGGTATTTTCATCACGAACTGACATCAGATGGAGGAACAATTGGAACCTAAAAGCACTGGACAACTGTTTCTTCCTGAGTCTTCATCAGTGCACACCCATGACCCAGTTCTGCCGTTGATCGAACGCGCGACCTTCAGGTTCTGTGGCCAGCCACTGGGTTGGGTTCTTATGGTTCATATTTCGTACTTCTGTCAGTTCACTATATAACGCGACTACCACCCAAATTCATCGTTGAATATTTTACCCCCACCTCCACTAGGTTTGCCGCACCCTGAGGGAGTCCCATCCAAGTGGGACGAAACAGCTGTGCAAGTGCTTCTAGACTTCCAATGTTCCTTCAACTGATGTCAATCCGTTATAAATACCAACTTGGAGTTTTTAATTTGTTTGCAAACAGTTGTTTTGCACACATATGCGCTCGTGTACCCTTTTCCTGTGATTGGTACTCATTACCTGTACTTCTGTTAATCAGATGCTGTTAACAATGATAATGGCGCATTAAAATAATCATGTTCATATCGTAAAGATTATTATTAAAATTCACTCATATGAATACTTTTTTCTACATATTCACTTTACTTCATATAGAACTCCTGCTGTTGCAATTATCATACTACTGTTTACTTCTTCCGGTCAAACAGTGATAGATATTAACCCAGTTTTTCAATATGGTACAAATCAGGTGAGTTGTATGAATGAAGCAAATTGTTTTTCTGTATATTTTGTTGTTGTGTTGGATATTGGTTGCTAATGACTTGTTAATAAGTAACCCTATAAAGGGTCCTTTTAATTCGAAACTAAGTCATTCGAGTCTACACCTATCGCCCGGTACTTCTGAGTTATTGAAATTTTATAACTGGCCTTAGCTGTAATGTTCAATTATGTGATTTTTAATTGTACACGGCTAAGGTAAATGTTTGTAAGTATTCATTGATAAACTAGTAAGTTCTTTTTCTCTGGTTCTTGTGAAGCGATTAGATGGTTTTGATTACTGGTATCTTCGTAACATTACTCACGTTTGGTGAAATCAGTGGTTGAACAATACTGAGGTTGGTATGAAGCCTTCATAACTAATTATGGCATGCCGAGAATGCGTGAAAAAACTAAACCAATCTGATGAGGTAGTCCCTTCAGAAATCATCTTCATCTCCGTCTAGCTTCACTTATAATATCTCCAAGAACCTGGGCACCACAATCATCTAACGTTTAACTAGAGCTCAAGAACACCAAACTCGAGAAAATCTCGAAGGTTTCAGATGTAGTCAAGAGTGCATTGATCAGATTTTCACCCTCCAACACGAACATACCTACCGGCCAGTGACCGACAATTGTCATATTTCTTGGCGTGAAGGCGGCATTTAACTCTGTCAACCATGGTGACGTTGTCCAACTGTGAAGGGAGTACCGAGGAAGTATATAATGCTTACACTCGAACACATGCAGCCGTGTCTGGGATTTTGGAGAAAGATCAGGTGGTTTGATAACAACTAGTGGTGTCTGCCAGCGATGCCCTCTGTCACTCTTCCCAGTTAACTTCCTCATGGACATACTAATGGACATAAGTTTATGTACATTTACCTTTACAAAGATTTATCTACTCTCTGGAGGTCATCTAGTTGTCTTGAAGTATGCAGACGATATTATCCTGTTAGGTGGAGGTGTTAACGAAATGCAGGGTCTTCCGAACACGTTCAGCAGGAATCTGTGTATGTCTGGCATACATTTCGCTTTTATTTACCTGTCAAGTGCAGTATGAGATACTCCAGCACTGGTATGCAACGACTCCCAGCTTAAAAATAGGGATTGAAGTGGTGGAATTTCTCGATTACTTCACTTACTTGTGGAGATGCATCAGCCCACCGAATGAGCTGTTTGCTGACGAAGTTTCAGCTGTGATACAGAATGCCTGTTGGGCATTTTCCAATTTGTGTCACCTGTGGCATTGGTGAGATATTCGGGTATCTATCAAAGGACTAGTATACTTCACTGCAGTCCGTTCTATCCTGTTATACGGCTGTGAGCCATGGACGATAAAAGGAGGAGACATGAAATAGCATTTCTTGCGTTTGGTGGAATCACCGTGTGAACAATGTTGAGGTCTCAGGTGGAAGGTACTAGGCAAGACATATAGGTTGATCGACGACTTGTCTGAGATGACTTGGACATATACTGCGCATGCCGAACCACCACTTACCTCGATGTGCCATGCTAGGAGAAGTTGGATTACGATGGGAGAGTTCAGGGTAGCCAGAACAAAACGTGGCACCAGTCTTATGAAGTCTCCTACTGTTGATCTGAGTCGTGTTGAGAGATGTAGACTGTCTGGTTGGGGCCCGTGAGACGAAACCAATGATTAGTTGAGGACTGACTATCGGTGAAATGATTGAAAATGGGTCACAATAAAGCAGGTGTATTCATTCTTTGACCTCGTCTAAGGCTTGAATATTCACACTAACCTTCATCTTCGAACTGTTTACTCTCTCATACAACTTAATCTATTGTGAAGTGTTGCAATTTGAGCCGACACACTTGTCTGCGAAGTTCTATGTCAGTTTTGTCTGTCTATCTGTCTGTGAAGTTTTCTCCTATCTCTCCTTCATTTCACTACTAAGGTTCACTAGTGTAGTTGTGTAGTGCAGTGTCGTTGTCTACTAGTGAAATATTGGTCAAATTTAAGCCATCCAATTCATCAATGTTAAATGACCTTGAGAGAGTGATGTTCCCATTGGGGTTCGGACTCGGGAGCAATCACTTCAAACCCCAGAGCGTTATCCACTACACCACCGAGCCACGATAACCACGTTACTCTTGGTATGAAAATTAAAATCGATTCTACCAAGGTAGGTTCAGCGTGAGTGCAAATTGTTTTTGTATATGTAAAGCAGGAGGTTTGAAGTTAAGGATGGCAAGGGCTTCAATAAATTTAAGCACTCAGCTCTGACCACTTTTATGCAGTACTTTAAAGGCTGTTTTCATACCTATCCTACGGTTAGTTTTTAGTGTATGTTTAGTGGTAGACGAAGATGGGTGTTTGGCACCTGCACTTATCGGATCTGTTGAGGTCGTTTGTTTCCGCAGCCACTTAGGTACATGTTCAACCTTCCTTAAATGAATATCACGATTACTCCTCCCTATGTAGGTGTTTCCACATATACATAACATCTGGGATGTGATGTAATCGTTTATATGTTGTCTTGGTTGGTGCCATAACATGGACTTTATCTTATCTACAATGATGACACTGGCCGTATAATGTGTTTTACTGATGAATGATCTAGGCCTTTTCTTCCCAACAAAGCTATGTGTATCACCTCTAAATAGTAATGAGATGTAGACATTTCTCTTAGCATCGGAACACTGTACTTTTCAATGGTATATAACTTTTGCACCTGTCGAATTCTTATACTTGGTTGCACGATCGTACAGTCTTATATAGTTTCTTCTTGTCCTCCCTGAGAGTACACAAGGAGAGGGAGCTGTGAATGAAGTGGATGCTCAGTGTCAGTTAAAATTACTGTAGCTAGTTGCTTGCTAGAATTTAAGTGTCTGTCAACTACAGTGTTAATTAGTTGGGCTAGAGGCACAGCACTCACCCACTGATGACTTTCAAAGTCCTATCAAATATAACGTAGTAGACTGGGAAAGATCAACGGGGGAAAATAGAGAAGAGTTGGCAAAATGCAGGAAATAAAGTAGAGGTTGAGTTACATCAGTGAGCCTCACTTTCTTTATGTAATACGTTAAACGAAACATTTCTGCTAGAAGTCCACAAGATATGAGATGACTAACAAAGATCAGAAGTAAAACTCAATCCAAGATAGTTAACACTCAATGTACTTACCACAGAAATACCATAAATACAACAAGAGTCATGGAACTTAAGCAGCGCACACAAATCTTGATTAGCACGCCTGAGTCTAAAATTAACAGTCTAACATTTATAAGGGTTTAGCGTAAGGCCATTTGAGAAAGGCCATGGGTCAATTTCGGTCAAGAAACCGTATAATTCAGAACAATCTCAGTGAGAGTTATTTGGCATAGAAAGCGTCAAATCATCAGCATACTTACTGAAACTAATTTCAACAGAATCAGGTAAATCATACAAAAAGAAGAAAAACAGAAACGGAGAAAGTACTGGACATTGAGGCATACCGACTTCAGTAAACACTGAAGTGGAGCGCTTCCCTTTATAAACAGTATACTGTTTTCTTTCAGAGGAATAAGTGTGCATCAACTTTGTAACCCATGGTTCAGTATGAGCTATGATAAGCTTATTTAACCAGAAGTGGTCTAGGAACAGAGTCAAAGTCTGATGAATAATTCAAGAAGGCACAACGAACATACCTAACACCTTTGTCTACACTAGAAACAATATTATACATTGAATAACTGATTTCCCAAACGTTATCATCATACATGGCAAACGGTGTATGACAGTGATTCTTGTGATATATTGAATAACCTAGCAAATACGATTTAAAACCCCGTATATGGTTAAGGTATGTTGATAATGAAACTCGCCTGATTAACTAGTTCACTAGTTACTAGCCGGTCCTAAGCCGGGGTAAATAGGGAAGGTTGGGCATACGGCTAGTTACCCTACCCCGTAAAACCAATCCAGTCACCAAAAAAGATTCAAAGCACAAACGATATATAAAAAATAATAACAAAATTATTCCTCGCTGGGATCGGAGAGGCGAAATGATACCGGTTGGTGAAAGTCTTCGGGAAGCCAATTGTCCGATCTGTTTTCTCTTCTCTCAATGAAAGCGAAGGTCAACATGGGGACATGGAATGTCCGCACTATGTTTGAACCTAGCAAGGCTTGAAGATGGATTGGGCATGCACTTAGAAGGCCGATCGGGGACATCATGCGCCAGGCCCTCGAGTGGAGCCCAGATGGGGAACGACGAGTTGGGCGTCCGAGGCGAGGGTGACATGGAGGAGATCGTGTAAGGAAGAAATGAGAGCTTCTGGGCTATCGTGGAGTCAGGTTGAAAAGTTTGCAGAGAAGAGAGTGGAATGGAGACGTGCTACTGAAACCCTATGTTCCACTAAGAACCCAAGGGACAAATAATAATAATAATGTTGATAACTCGTTTGTCATAACCAAAAGACAAAGTTTAGGAAATCTTTCCAAATATCATAACAACCGTTTCAATTTTATAAAATTCACTTGTGAACTAGAAACAGAATTCAGGACTGACTTTTCTAGACTACAGGGCCGTGCGCAACAACGAGAGGATACACTTGATAATAATATCTGTCGAAAAGATAAACATTCTAACGAGTACCTTGACTTTGATACAGCTCACGCACTAGAAACTAAGTTAAACATCTCCAAAATCCTCTTGATGAGATTACAAAGAATATGTAGTAAATTAGGAACTCAGACACCGGGTAGGCTACTTGTTTGGGAAGTCCTAAATGGAAACCACTATCCGCAAAAGCTTCTAAAAAGGATAAAAAGAAATTTGCTCGAAAAAAGATATGGAAAAACCATCCCGTAAAGATTGGATAAGTACTGTATTACTTTCTTATCGAATATCCACATCAGAGGAAATAAGACATGTCTTTGATAGTTACAACATCAGAGTATTTTTTAAGGTGATGAACCCTTCTCACCTATATCTGTGCAAATTGAAGAACCCGATTCCCCGTTTGAAACAATCAAATTGTGTTTATCAGGTAGATTAGAGTGAATACGATAGGACATACATTAAAGAGACATGTAAAGTACTAGCACGTCTGACCGAACACAATCGAAATTGCAAGCAGCAACCAAAACATTCTTATGAACTCGAAAAAAATACTTGAAAAAGACCACGGCATTTCAGCTGATGGCTTATATTGATTTAAAAAGACTAAAGTCTTGTAAAAAGTGTGTCCTTTTTCATATTGTAGAAGCTTTGTATATCTTTTTGTGCCCTTAATTCAATACAAAAGCTGAACTGGATATCCCACATATATGGCAAACACTAGTGACTCTCGTAGACATTTCCAGATGACATACAAGGAGAAGTTTGACAACAATTTCATTTACACTGAATGATGATTAATGGTGAAATGAAAGTTTGGACTATCGCAGGGATTCGAACCAGCGACCTCCGGCTCACAATCTCACTTTAAATTGTTTCTTACTCCTACCAGATGAATCACAACTAGAAGAAGCCTCTATGACCGATTTGCTAATTCAATCACCTACATTATATTGATCTTTGTTCCATATCAAGATCCAATTGGATGTTCATAAAGATCACCTCCTCTATCAAAACTTGAGTATTAACCTGAGAACTTAATATCTGCTTCATACTCTTGATAAAGGTTCTTCTAGCAAGAATGAAATGTTGAGGAATAATATATGTTACACTTTCTAATGCACTATACGAGCAATGCTATGAGGATACCTACAGTTACAAGCTTATGATCATAATTATGTTCAAAGCATTGCTCGCGTTTGGTGGAATCACCGTTTGAACAATGTTGAGGTCTCAGGTGGAAGGTATCAAGCAAGTCTATTCATGAGGTTGTGAACATTAGTGTGATGAGATGGGTTGGACATGTACCGTGCATGTCGAACCACCATCTACCTTGATGTATCATACTAGGGGAATTTGGATTAGGTTGGATGACCAGATGAAGACTTGGCACTAGTTCACGAAGTCCCCTGACTGTTGGTCTAAGTCATGAAGGATCCCTGAGACGACAGGAATCAGTGGTTTTTGAGCACTTAGTGACATGGCTTAAAATCGTCTTACGCTTGAATATTTGCACTAACCGTTATGTTCAGATTGTCTGTTCTGTCACACAAGTTTGTCTACTTGGATATCACTCCTTTTCTATCATCCTCTGTTCCTTGTATATACTCCTTTAAAGTGTGACAACTTGCACCGATGTACTTCTACTTTGGTTTTACCCAAACTTTTCTCAACTATTCAGTCCATTGTTAGTCAGAAAACGTTGAATCCAAAATATCCTTGAACATACTGAAATTGATTACATCATGTGGAAGTTAGAGATCTCGATTTTTCTGACTACTTTTATATATAATTCTGCAAACAATTCTCCATTCTCGTTCATCACCTCACCGAGCGCTTCTCGACCCATGGTTAGTTCTCTTCCTGTGTTGTCCCCTCCCAGTCTGGCATTCATGTCACCCCACCCATTAGAATTTTGATATCCCCAACTGATGTCTTGTCCATCAATGATTGCAAATGTCTGTACAATTCCTCCTTTTTCTCTTGATCTGCATTATTTGTTGGCGCATAGCATTGTATGAATGTGACTTTCCTTCCCTTTGAGTTGAATCTTACTGTCATGATCCTGGAGGAGGAGATTGGTTCCCACTGCATGAGAGTGAGCCTTTGATGTTGTTCAAGGGGACATTATGATAGCCACTCTCCCATTGTGCTCGTGGTTGTCGTCTGGGTGAGTGGAGTAGATTATTGACTCTCCAGTTAAGAAAGAGTTTTGAGAGTCCACTTCCATTCCATCTGCTTTCGCATATTCCAATCACTTCTATGCCATATCTTCTCATCTCTTCCGCAATCTTGGCATCCTTGTTGGTTTTAAACATGGTGCGGACATTGCATGTCCCTACGTTTACTTTTGCTTTGATCGAGGGAGAGAAGAGACATCGGCCGGGCTAATTGGCTTTTCGAGGGCAGGCTTTCACCAACTGGTGTCATTTCGTCTCTCCGATTCCAGTGAGGAATAATTTTGTTATTATTTTTTATATTTTCTAGGATAGGGTTCCAAACCCTATGCCCAACCTTCCCTCTTTACCCGGTGTTCGGACCGGCTAGTAACTAGTTAACCAGGCGATAAAATTGTTATTGACTTTTAATGATTGTACAGATTTGATCATATAGAATAGGCTTTAACCTGTGAGTTGTTTACTGTAAGTCAAGATTTTAGACTACAAAACCATTTTCTTGAATTGAACTTGATTTTCACGCTAAGTCTATTGTTATTCATAGTCATAGGATGAGTATTCTTTGCTGTTTTAATATACACCGGGCAAGTGTTATGATTTTCAAATAGATAACTTCTACCTGCATTTTAAATTAGTTCATTTGTCTACATAAAATAGAATTTCAGCGTTCCACATTATAGTCTTTCTTCTTTCAAGGATACGAGTATCATCGAGGCTATTATTGAAAGGTAAAATGTTTCCACTTGTGATTTTTTTATTCTCTCTTCTGTTGTGTCGATACCATATTTGTTCTATTTTTCATATCTTTTTATCAGCTCATCATATCACTTATAGTCTTAGTTGTCAATACGGCAGTGACTTTGGGATGTTTGATTACATTTAAACGAATGGAACCGCCTGTACACGATTGTTATGAGATTCGGGAGACATCTACGGTGAGTTTTTTTTTTTTTTCATTCACAAATGATATTTATAATCCAGTGAAAAACTATATTCCATTGGTTATCATTGATTAATGAAGACATTGACGGTTTGGAATACTGTTCTGACTTAGGTGTTGATTTAGTCTCAGTTATACCTCTCTGTCGTTTTAAAATCTCATATATCTAAGCGCCACACCACTGCTTTAACTGTCTGTCTACGACAAATACCGCTGCAGTTTAATATCCATTTCGTTATCTTGGTATTTACATTTCTCAAGGGAAATTACAAGTATTATTAAATAACCACTAATACTCGTTGCAGGCCTTCAGCAGCGTCGACCGAGAAGTAATTTGGCAGCCAGTTGCTTCAACACTACGCAGGACCACAATCTCATTTATCAACCTCATTCAACAACTATGGGAAAACGCCACATACCAAGTGATTCACAATGGAAAGCTCAAACACGCCTTTGAAGTGAAGACATGAGTAAGACAAAGCTGCCGCCTACTCTCATCGATGATCTTCCTGATTGTCATCGACTGGATCATGCAAAAAACTGTGAGGAGCGAGATGATTGGCATAAGCTGGCTAGTTGACCGATGAAAAGACACTAGAAGATTTGGATTTGGCCAGTGATGATTGATGTCTAATGTCTTATGTTGCACAAACTCGAAGATCTCCTGGCGAAAAATTAAAACAAGTTGACAGAAGAGGCAGGGCAGTGAAGAAGGGACTTCAAGCTGTTGTAGAGAAGAGAGATGGAGGTGATGAAGATACCCAACCAACAACAGCGCCGACAACAGCACCAACAACAAGCACCGATCACCAATAATGGGAGGAACTTAAAGGAATTAGTCTCTTTCACCTACCTACCTACCTACCTACCTACCTACCTACCTACCTACCTACCTACCTACCTACCTACCTACCTACCTACCTACCTACCTACCTACCTACCTACCTACCTACCTACCTACCTACCTACCTACCTACCTACCTACCTACCTACCTACCTACCTACCTACCTACCTACCTACCTACCTACCTACCTACCTACCTACCTACCTACCTACCTACCTACCTACCTACCTACCTACCTACCTACCTACCTACCTACCTACCTACCTACCTACCTACCTACCTACCTACCTACCTACCTACCTACCTACCTACCTACCTACCTACCTACCTACCTACCTACCTACCTACCTACCTACCTACCTACCTACCTACCTACCTACCTATCTACCTACCTACCTACCTACCTACCTACCTACCAACCTACCTACCTACCTACCTACCTATCTATCTATCTATCTAGAGGGTGGCATCGTATCAACTACAGGCCGCTGTACAGGCACAGACGGGGATGTCAACGCCAGCCAGGATATGAAAGATAGCAGGACAAACCTTCCTTCATCAATCTGAAATCAGTGTGAAGATCTACTGCACTCCACTGCACTGGACTGCACTCAGCATAAAGCGTGAACAACATCCGGATTTTCAACACTACTAATGTCAATCCAGTAAGTCAGTGCTGCTATGTGATAGTTGAGAGACTTGGCGCGTTACGAAAATAATTTCCAACAAACCACACACGTTCATCAACAGCTGCCACCTATGCTCACTCGATACTGAAGATCAGATGAGATGGCGAGAATGATGAGAATAAGTAAGGAGGAACTCTGGCTGGCAACCAACCAACCAAGAACCTATTATCCAACAAATATGCAGAAGGAAGTAGAAATGGATTGGGCATGCACTGAGACGGCCGACTGGGGACATCAGGCACCAGAACAGGCCATCGAATGGAATCCAAAGGGGAAATGACGAGTTGGGCATCCGAGGGTGATATGAAGGAGACTATGTGAGGAAGAAATGAAAGCTTGTGGACAGTTGTGGAGCGAGGTTCAAAAGACTGCAGAGAACAGAGTGCAATGGAGGAGTGCTACTGAAGGCCTATGTTCCGCTAGGAATTCAAGGGGAAAAAATAATATAACAATACCCGTTGCACAAGTGGGTGGCTCTCGTGCCACATTAACCCCAGTGTATTCCTCCTTGGCATTTGAAGCGATAAGTAGTTGTTTCAAGTCTTGATGGAAACAAGATCACTCACTGGGTTGCAAGTACATCCAGGTGATGAGTCCCGAATAGGACGACACTAACGTCAAACTTATAGTAAACCGGAATTTACAATATCTACATGAATGATTCTACATTGTTTTGAATCGTTGAACAAAGTATCCATATGTATGTGTGAGAAGAGTGTATGTAATTACGGATTCAGATTTGTATGTACACACGTGTGTTGATCGATAGTTCTTATCGCATATATGTTGGTTGTGTCTGTATATGTGGGTGAGTTGAGACTGTGTCAAATTACGACGTTTTATATTCCCTAATGCCTATTTTAATAATTTCGACTCGAATTTATATGAAGCGATTCTGGTGTGAGACGTTCGTTATAATTTTTAAAGCCTTTGTGAATAATTTTGATATTGTTGAGGTTGACCTTGTGACCTGAATTGTCTTCAAGTGGTTTTTTTTAGCTCTAGAGGGTTAGGTGGAAGCTCTCCGATCTCCAAGTTCTTCCCATTTTGATTTCTTAAGAAGTCCATCCTATGGTTACTACATCATAGTTTGAGCATTTTATTTCATAAACACAATTCGATTGTAAATTCAGAATGATATCATCTTTCAAATGATGTTTTGAAATGTATTTGGTGTTCCGTAGAACACTCTGATGACATTCAATTTCTTTAGGATTCTCCTAATTTCATCCGAACTATATGGATCCATATCGAATGACTATTGTTCAGGCCTATGATTAAAGAATACTTTCACGATCTAAATTTGATATCATTTTCTTCTTTGTGAATGAATTTCCCTGGATAAAGTATATTGTTCATATATTTTAATTTCTTAACTCTCTCATCACTTGTTGGAATGTATGCTCTTTTTTTAAATGGCTAAACGGAACAGAAACTTTTGCACTGATATGGAGGTGATGAGTTGAAATCTGAATGTTTATTCTAACGTGTTACTTTCTTAAAAATGATTATACTCAAATGTCTATTTTGTTTTCACTTAACAAGACACAAACAAAGAAAGCCAGTTCACCATTATCTTTCTTTTTACTAATCAATTTCTACTTGATATAGGGTGATCTAGAGTTCAGTTAATCTAAGAATTACGTCGTCTAAATCACGTACATACAACATACATATGATAAGAATTATCAATCAACACACGTGCACATATCGATATCATTTTTGTTCAACAATTTAACAACTCAGAATCATTCACGCAGAAGAAGGAGAAGAAGAAGAACACTTGTCAAGTTATCATATTTGAGCTTGAAGGATATTGTAAATATCGGTTTGATAAGGCTATTAGAAGCATTGAGTATAGCGAAATATCAATGTTGTAACAAATTTATTTCCTTTTATATCCTTATCGAAAACGTATAAGTACCAAAGTAATAAATATCACTTACTCAATGCCTAAATTTTTTCAGACTATAAAATCCTAACGATCTGGACATTTACTCAAAACCTTATTCATATCTTACACTTCAACTTGGCATCTCATTGACATTTTAGAACTCAGATACTCAGATACACCATGATCAAATGAATACTCAAGAACAGAAAACATTAAAAAGGCTGAAAAATAGAGAAGATATCGTTATATTTCCAGCAGGAAAAGGATGCACTACAGTAGTCATCGACAAAGAAGACTTCATCAGGAAAGCAAAGGAATTACTCAAAGACGAAATGTATATGAAATACTTGAAACCAACCTTATCCAGAAGTTCAACAACCGAACCAATAGAACCTTGAACAAACTCTTCAAAGCAGAAGAAATATCAAAGCAAGACAAATGGATAATGAAATCGAAATGAACCTGTCGTTCCTCAGTTCTACGGGAGATCAAAAATACACAAACCAGACATCAATCCCTCTACGATCAATAGTCTTCCCGTCGGGAACTCCAACATACAACATATTAAGAGAACTTTCGATAAAACTGAAATACTTTGTTCAATCATGTGGACATTCCATCAATTCACCAACGGAAATTTTAAAGAAGGTCAAAAACATTAACATAGAAAACGACGAATTAGTGGAACCCTTCGATGTCATAACACTAAACACGTCCATCGAGCCCCAATTGGCCTAGGAAACCATGTCCCTCCTGATCAATGAAGATACAAACCTTTCACAACGCACAAAACTTGAATGTTGAAGTCTGATGCATATCATCGACTTTTGTCTGGAAACATACTTCCAATTCGATGGCAAGATACACAAACAGATGAAAGGAACTCCGAAGGGATCTGCGATATCTGGATTAATTGTGGAAGCAATGATGCAGAGACTGGAATCCATCATCCTACTTGTAACCAAACCAAAATTCCGGATTGGCTATATGGACAACACATTTGTCATCATTAAGAAGATGATAGAGAAGAGAACACTCACAGTTTGATCAACAATGTTCTCAATGACATCAAATTGATAATGAAGCAGAAAGAGTCAAACAACTAACTACCATTTATTGGATGTTTTAGTGAGTAGAACAAATGCCAGAAACTCAAGTGTAAAGGAAGCCAACATACACTGACCAAATCCTCAATTACGATAGCAACAACCGAAAAGCGCACAAGACAGACCAGTTGGTTGCAGACTCTATTCAGAAGAGGGAGAACACACTGCACTGCGAGGCAACAACTTCACGGAGAAACGAAGAAAATTGCTTGATCTCGACATCGTGAAGAAGAACGGCTACCCAACAAACTTTATCACAAGATGACTATCCCGTACATCATCAACTACGAAGTCATTCACAGAGATGACAAGAAGATTACTTATACAATTTGTAATTGGTGTGGATCATGAACCGACAAATTCTCTCGAAACACTATTATGCAGACTGACCATAGGATGCAACAGGCAAAGAAGACAAACTGAATATCATTTACAAAATCAACTGCAATACCTAACTGTAGTCAATACTCTAGTGTTGGACAAAGTGGTCGCTCTCTTCGCCTTCGTCCACATGAACACCAACTGGCTATTAAACGTCACACATGACATTTCATTACTCATCACTCAATTCACGTGGATACCAACTATGGATATGAATTCAATTTTGACAATAGAAATTTTGGATGGAAAGATGGACAGGAAAGAAAAGAATATGAGAGAATTCCTAGAAGTTTGGCATTCAGGTCAGTCAGTCAGCAATCAATAGATGTATAGACATAGACCCAATCTATCAACCAATAAGAAAGATGATAAACAACAGGAAGTTCAGAGGTCAAGCAGTGGGACTGCCAAGAGGAAAATCTATGGAGTCAGCCAACGACACAACAATCAAAGGAAACAACCAATTACAGACCACTTCGTGAAGGGGAAGTACTAAATCACTCACGGAGAGATATTGACAGCTCACTTCATACTGAAGTTAGTGCTGATGAAGTCGTCTGGAAGGACGATGAAAGCTTCACGATTAAACAACCCAGCTCAGAGAAAACCATACAACCAGAACTCAGATGCTATTACACACAGTAATAATGATGATAACAGTAATCGCTTCATTCCAAGCAATATGTTTTATACAGTATGAAGTTATCAACAAGTGCACTACTTGAACAATGTACTCAAACGAAATCATTACTGTATCCGATTGATGTTAAAAATACCACTATTAAAAGCAATAATGCTGAATAGTCAGCAGGTATTAGATTAGCTTCCGATCTAGAATGAAGGATGTATAGAGAATCGAAAGTAAGTTTGGTGGTGATAGTTCTTTCAGCCAGTATGAGAATCTCCCATCCGAGCTAAGCATCTGATGAGTGAAAATATGAGGAATCCAGAAACGGCTAGCTGAAAATACTTTAAAACTATACAAGAGTACATCCCACGCCTAGAAAACATAGTTAAATGATCAAACAGACCGCCAGATTATTTTCAAGGTCATGTATACGGTTGTAAGCTTCAGATATTCCAATGATGTGTCGTTTTTTTCTGGTTACTACTAAAACTGAAGTTGGTGAAGTTTATTTCGACATTATGACTCATATCATTCAGTAATATAGGAGATTTATCAATCCTCACATTTTAGATTTCTTTTAAACCAATTTACATCATAAATACGCCTTACCAACATTAGGATACATATTAGTTTCTTAGTTACTTCGATAGCGTGATTAACTTAAAAAAGTGAAATGTTTGTGTTGAGTCGTTTCTTAAAGAGATACACTTCCTGTATGAGATGGCATAGATCCACACAACTGTTTCTAGAAATGACTCCTGGAACTCACTGTTCTGCTGTTCTATCAGATTGCTTCCCCATTTGATCATTATTTTCATCAACATAACTCTCTTTTGGTTCTTGGTTTCTTCTAGGAGGGAAATAAACCATCTGATGAGCTATCTCATCAGTTAAACGATGAATCTAGTACAGGACAAGAAATCATTAGCCTACAACATATGGAACAAGCGACACAATCGAATTCAGTGGTTTCAGCAACCAATACTACAAGTTGTAGTCATTGCAATCCTGCCAATTGTCTTACTTTATTTGACTGTGGAGATTGTCCAGGCGGTAAACAAAAATCTCAGCAGCATCGACAACAATCTTGTGATTACACAGGATTTTGTGATTATTGCAACCAAAAACAGCGAAAGGAGTGTGCTAAGTAAGCAAATAAAATATGTCAATATATCAACCATTGACAAATGCTTAAAATTGTTTTCACAATAGTATGCCTAACCACCGTCTACGTTATCACAGAACGTTGACCGAAGTAGCTTCAGGCTGGAGGTCAGACTAAAACATTCATAAGGTCGTTGACTATTGGTTTGAGCTATGTAGGGTAATCCAGACTAACTGGTTAGGGTCCGCGGGACAAGAGAAGCCAGTGGTTGGAGACTCCAGGCGATATATCTCAGAGTCGATGTCATTGGCGCGATGGATGCATACATAATCTTCATCTTAGCTGCTATACTTAATCTCATCATCTTCTCATTTTTCCTTCCTCTCTTTTACTACTTCCTATGACCGAGTTTTCTTCCCTTCTTCATCTCCCATCTTATTACTTTGTTACTTGGTGTGTTGATATGAGATGAGGTGTGGCAACATGGACCGTTACGCAGTAATGCCTAGTCCTATGTTGATCTTGATGATGACGATGTTTTTACAGTTATAGAGTAACAATAAGTTAATAATTATGTTTATCGTTTAATACTTGTAATGTCCAGTTGCCAGTAGGTGGCCTAGTAGATATCGCTTTAGTGTTTCAAGCGATGAGTACTGGGATTGAGTTTTATTGGGTACAACATCACTAATAACTGAGGTGGAAGTACATCGAGCTGACGAATGAGTCCCAAATAGGACGAAATGCGCGTCATAGATTCTACTACTAGTCACCAAGATGGAAATCATGTCTATCGTTTGTTCCACTACTTTGTTGAAAGGTTCATCTACGTCTGTGAAATTGTATTCTATCCTCTGCCTGACTTTTGTCTTGGTCAAGAGAATTCTTTCACCATCATGTATAGGTCAATATGAATAAACCTAAGCGAGAAGGAAATATATTTTCGTTAATTAGAACATTATTATGTAAGCTCGTTATGAGCTTACCGAGGGCTGTTTTCTGAAGTAATGCCAACCAGAAGTGTCCTTCAAGGATATATACTATCACTATCCGTATTTAACTTTTTCATAGGTCTATTGATGTACACAACCATACATATCTCTGACTTCTTGGGATTGACTTATTCCCCATGAGGGTACATAAATGATTTAGATTACACAGGTTATATTTTCTTGTTAAACAAATTCACTGATAAAATGTAAAGCCTTTTTAAGGCCTTGAGTAGAAATCGGAGTATGTCTGACAGAAAGAAGCTTTGCTCCTGTGAAATGTAAGACCTGTGCTTTAGGACTAACCTACGCTAACTCCTATAAATAACGTTGTGGTCAAATGTGTTGAACAATACACCTTATTAGGAAGTTTCACTGGCCCAAATGGGGAAGTTGATGAAATTTCAGCATAGATACAAAGTTTCTGTTTAACAATCTATGTTCACGGTGAGTTACTTAGCTACCTGTCAAAGGATAACAATGCTGCGAAGCATTGCGTTCTGTTATATTGTATGGCTGTAAGGTATGGCTAATGAATGTAGGAGGTATGAAAAAGTTACAGGTTATTTACCTTAGGTCTGATTCTAGCATTGCTTGATTTTGATGGAACTGTCATTTGAACAATTTTGAAGTTAGACATAAGGACATTGGGCAAGAAAGATAAGTCATTGCATAAGGTTTTTAACCTACTGCGACTGAGGTGTGTTGAGCATTTTTTGAGTTAGCGGAACCACCATCAATCTTAATCCTTGACGTTAGTTGAAGCAGGATTATAATTGAAGAAGGCTAAGAATGGTTAGACTGACCAATAGCTACTGACCTTGACGTGCTGGCTAGGCTTGTGTATCACGATGACCCGACAAACTATGTTGGTGGAAAGCTTGTTCCCTCGTGGTCCTACCTTACCAGAGACGTTTGTTGGATAGTGGGTAGACAAAAAGCAGTTGCTGTTATAATATAAATCGCGACGCTTTTATAGGAATCCTCAAATGAAGCCATACTGTAGGAAACGAGAAGACTGAGATGCAGCAAGGAATGTTTATTACTGTACATCTTGCACGGTGGTCATCAAATGCTATACACTTTCCACTAAGACAGCCATCTGCGCGATGTGCTTCATTTCCTCTTCTGCTTCTATCTTGATTTGCTCTTATTACGCCCACATTGTCTCTTGTGTTTCTCTGGACAGAATCTTTACCCATTGCTGGTAATTGCCTATGATTTCTGCCTTCCTCTCAACATATACTACTTATATCCATTCTGATCAGCAACGCCGACTAAGATACTACTAACTGGTTGGGGGTGTGTGACCAGCGGTCCCACGCTAGTGCTGCCTTCCCTATGAGAAGGGGAAACGGGGGCTAGTAAAGTTCACTCCCCAAAATTGCAAACTTCCAACCCCCCTGTGGCGTGTCGATGACTACCACAAAGATTCATAGTCAGATTCGAAAGCAAATTACCAAGATCTTAAACTTGCAAAAATACCATGTGTGACAGACCTCAAGCAGATATCCCTTGGGTTCTGTCGTGTCACACTCTCTTCTATTTCAGGTGTTTCAAAAGTAACTAGCCTTCCATAGTGTGCCCAACCAGGAATTGTTAACCGCCGTACGCTTCCAGTAGTCTATTTCATGGTCAGATCAAAACACATTGTCTTTGCATGACATTTTTGATTGTTGATCTAAACTATGTAGGGAAGTGTAAGCTGTCTGGCTGAGAAGTTCTCATTACTATAACAGTCGGTGTTGTTTGGAGATAATTGGTGATGTGGCTCAAAATGGATCATAGTATTGGAAATTTATACACTATCCACCTATCAGCCAATTTTCCGAATATCTTCACTTTTTCCTCTCATACACTTTTACTTTCTCTGATATCACTTTTTTCTGTTCATTTCATCTTTCCATGCTTCTGTAAGATGCAGTAACTTAAATTGATTCACTTCTAATGGTTTTTTTTCTTCCTCACATGTCATACTGATATGATCTTGTACGGTATTAAGCCTTTTTAACAAACCACTGTCACCCTCATCTGTGTCATATACTACAAAGATATCATCAGTATACCTTCTATAGAATGTGATACTGGTGATTAAATCCTGAGCTATTAGTTTCATATGTTAGTATTCACTGAAAGACGAACACTTTCTGCAAGTTGATGATAATGCTATGGGGAGTCCATTAGGACGGTTATTGGCTGATTTATATACGTCACATATTGGATTAATGGCTCAGGATTTAATCACTAATGTCACATTCTATAGAAGGTATACTGATGATATCTTTGTAATATATTACACAGATGAGGATGACGGCGGTTTGTTAAAAACGCCTAATATATCATATCAGTTTGATATGTGAGTAAGAAAAAGACTATCAACATGTATTTCTTGATATGCTCTTGTGTCGGAGGGAAGATGGATCTATCATTCGACCAATATATAGAAAGCTTACTCAGACAAGACAGTACTTGAGTTTCTACAGCTTCTGTCCGATTAAATATAAGACAGGCTTAGTGAGATGCTTATTCAATGGGATTCAACGTATTTGTACATCTGATACGATGGATGATGAGAAGAAATTTCTGGAAGATACACTTGCGGAAAATCGTAGGGATATTGTCGCACTCCAAAGCTTACTGTAGACACTATTTCTTTCAGTGTGTATATTTTTTTAAAATATATTATTACTATTATTTCTCCCTAGGTTCCTACTGGAACATAGGCCTTCAGTAGCACTCCTCCATTGCACTCTGTTCTCTGCAGTCTTTTGAATCTCGCTCCATGACTGTCCACAAGCTTTCATTTCTTCCTCACATAATCTCCCTCATATCACCCTCGGACGCTCAACTCATCATTTCCCCTTTTGGTTCTACTTGAGGGCCTGGCGCGCGACGTCCCCGAATGGTCTCCTCAGTGCATGCCCAATCCATTTCTACTTTCTTCTGCATATTTGTTGGATGATAGGTTCTTGGTTGGTTGGTTGCCAGCCAGAGTTCCTCCTTACTTATTCTCATCATTCTCGCCATCTCATCTGATCTTCAGTATCGAGTGAGCATAGGTGGCAGCTGTTGATGAACGTGTGTGGTTTGTTGGAAATTATTTTCGTAACGCGCCAAGTCTCTCAACTATCACATAGCAGCACTGACTTACTGGATTGACATTAGTAGTGTTGAAAATCCGGATGTTGTTCACGCTTTATGCTGAGTGCAGTCCAGTGCAGTGGAGTGCAGTAGATCTTCACACTGATTTCAGATTAATGAAGGAAGGTTTGTCCTGCTGTCTTTCCCATCCTGGCTGGCGTTGACATCCCCGTCTGTGCCTGTACAGCCGCCTGTAGTTGAAACAATGCTGCCCCCTAGGCAGGTAGGTAGGTAGGTAGGTAGGTGAAAGAGACTAATTCCTTTAAGTTTCTCCCATTAATGGTGATTGGTGCTTGTTGTTGGTGCTGTTGTCGGCGCTGTTGTTGGTTGGGTATCTTCATCACCTCCATCTCTCTTCTCTACAACAGCTTGGAGTCCCTTCTTCACTGCCCTGCCTCTTCTGTCAACTTGTTTTAATTTTTCGCCTGTAGATCTTTGAGTTTGTGCAACATAAGACATTAGACATCAATCATCACTGGCCAAATCCAAATCTTCTAGTGTCTTTTCATCGGTCAAATAGCCAGCTTATGCCAATCATCTCGCTCCTCACAGTTTGTTGCATGATCCAGTCGATGACAATCAGGAAGATCATCGATGAGGGTAGGCGACAGCTTTGTCTTACTCATGTCTTCACTTCAAAGGCGTGTTTCAGCTTTCCATTGTGAATCACTTGGTATGTGGCGTTTTCCTATAGTTGTTGAATGTGGTTGATAAATGTTTTTGGCCCTCCGTAGTGTTGAAGCAACTGGCTGCCAAATTACTTCTCGGTCGACGCTGTCGATAAAGGTGAGGTACTTGTGGTTGATATAACATTTTTCTTCTAATTGGTTCCATAATTTCTCCCAACCAAACTGCAACTAATCAGTTTGAGTAGCTGCACATATTGGAAATCTGATAAAAGCCATCATAGACTTTGTATATGTAATTGATGAATTTTTATTTGTTTGTAATATACATTCCATTCAAGTATTTATATTCTACCTGTACACTTTACATTGTTGCGTTAAAGCTGTCCGTCTGTTGTTGAAGTTGTTTGATGGAATGTTCAGTTGTTCCACCCTGTTTCTTTCTCTCTCTCTCTCTCTGATACTTTTTTTAGGATTATTGCCTGTTACTGTGAAAATCATCAGCAATCTACATCATCATCATCATCATCTGTACCCCCAAGAAATCAACAAATTTCACTACAAAGTGAATTGGATAGTATTCTAACCCATGGAAATGTAAAACCTCCACACCATAAACATGTTATATTCTTGATATTGACACTAGTCACAATGTTTTTGTAAGTTTATCTTTTTACAGAGTTGAAGTGTATATATCTGTTCAATCGTTTATTTTCATCAGAAGGGTTATTCTTCATTATTGTGTATAGTTAATAATTTGATTGTACAAAAATCGAATTACTCATCTATACACATTCTGGACATTGTACATGATCATTACTGTGTATCTTAAGCACATTTTTGATGTTTTTGCTTATATTATCCCGTTGTTGAGTGGACTAAATTGATCAGTCTCCAGTGGTAGCCACTATACATCATTAATAGGGACACTTTTTTTTCCAACCATTATCGACTAAAGTGCCTGGAACATGTATTACGTATGCCTTGTTGCACAATGTTAACTGAAAAGTAGGTTCAAGCTGAAAAACGGTTGGATGCAATCAGAATAAAATATAACAACACTGCATGATGTCTTTAATTGTTTATCTGATCCGTGTAGACATCAATATGACAACCGAAATCGAGGTTTGGAGACTCTAGATGATATGCTTTAGAAGCGATGTTAGCGGAGTAGATATATACACACACATACACACATTGTCCTCATCTTAATCATCAGATTGGCTTTCAATATCGTGTCATTTTTCCTTACACTCTTTTGATTAATTTCTACCACTTTTGACTGCTTCCTTCCCTATTCTTTTATGTTCTATCTTCGTGCATGTTCTCGATTGATGTACTGACGTGAGATATGGCAGTAATGTGTGTTACTCAGTAATGCCAGGTCTGTTATCATTTAATACTATCGGGAGACATTGTTTCTCACCTTACTATCGGTTGATACTACAAGTCACAACTTCAGATGACGTATCTTGGTGAAAAACAATGATGAACGCTAGTTTATTATTATTCATCTTAGCGGTCAATGAATTTTATCGTTTAGAATAACATCTCATATTGGTTCTAAACCATTCAGTTCTTTCAAGTTGTTATTCATTGTAGACTGACATCAGTTGGGCTATATCGTGAGCGAACAGAAGGTGGAAATATGGACCACTGGATTCCGCTGACCTAATGGCTAGCTCAATGGTAACGTGCTGGCCACTGGACGTGAAGGTCATGGGTGCGCAATATTTCATACTAGTCAGACGAAACAGCTGACCAGTGCTCCCAGGTTTCCTTTGTTCCTCCAACTGATGTCCGTCTACGATGAATAACAACTTAAAATATTTTCAAATCCCCACAACTCCCTCAACATTCAGTCCTTCTTAGTTTCTTATAACTTCATTTCATAGTAGGCGATTCCTTGAAGGTTAATTGATAAATATTACGGTAGTATTCATCACGGACTAATATCAGTTGGCGAACTATTGAAGATCTGGGAGCACTGAACAACCGTTTCATCCTATTATGGGACTCTACTCAGCGGTATGCATCGACGATCTGGCTAAGGACTGAACTCATGACATTCAGGTTTCACGGCGAACGCGTTAACCATTGAGTCACAAGGTTGCAGTTCAATGGTATAGCGCGACTTCAGTTGGCTCCCGCTTCACTTGTGGCTAGTTTGACCCCATAGGTCACGACTATGTCGCAAATTGACAGAAGGAAACTATGAAGCATTGAACTCCGACTCAGTGGTTGGTTAACGCATTTGTCGTGAAATTCGATGATCCTGATTTCTATTTCTAGCCTAGTCATTAGTGCGTACTGTTGACGAATCCTATACTAGGACGAAATGGCTGTTCAGTTCTGTAAGTTTTTAAATAGTTCTCCAATTGATGCCATTCCATGATGAATACTACGTTAAAATATCGTAATCAGAAGTGTTGATCTATTTTATGCTACTTCAATTCTGATTAGGAAGGCTGAAGTAACAGAATAGTGCATCTTTAACAACCGTTGAAAAGAAGAAAGATAACTACTTGTCTTTCTTAAACTTATAGCCCAGTCGATGGCAAAATAGATCAGTCAGACGATATATTTATGGAAAGCTTATTTAGACAGGACAGTATTTAAATGATCATGGTTTCTGTTCAATTTAGTACGAAGAAGGCTTAGTAAGGAAGGGGTGCTTATTTATTTAAATTCCACAAATTTATGGAGCCGATAATTGGAAGAACAGACAGAAACCTTGGTGTTTATTATCTTGTAAAGTTTGGTTAGAATTTACATTCCTGTTTAATATACAGTCATTTTTGGTTTCGCAGTTCGCGAAAAACAAACAGATAAATTTGACGTTGCAACTTGCACACAAGTGATGCATTGGTCGGAGTTGCCGCACTCCACAATAGTATACAAAGAATAAGTTGATAGAAAATGACTCATATCAGTCAACCATGTAGTCTACAACCATCTCGAGTGGCTAAGACGAAGAGTGGGAGACTTTATGAACTGCTCCTAGGTTATAATATGATAACCCTTAGCCTTCTTCCAACTTAATACACCTTCGCTTAGGATGGTACTTTGAGGTAGGCGGTGGTTTGGCATGCATAGGATATATTCAACCCACTTTGATCGGGAAAAAGTATACAACCTCGTCGACGGACTTGTCTAATCTCAGTATTGTTCACATGGTGATTTCACCAGGCAGGAGTGAAGTAGTGTTTAATCAGTTTCTAGGACCTTTTTTAATGCTTTGTCGAATACCGAACACTTATCATTTGACATTCTTTTTTGGATAACATAGCGTATCTGTTATCTCCCACACTCAGCATAAAGAGTGAACAAGATCCAAGTGTTCAACACTACCAATGTCAGTCAAGTAAGTTAGTGCTTGCTTCTATGTGATGGTTGAGATACTTGGCGCGTCACGAAAAGCACTTCCAACAAACTGCAGACATACATCATCAACAGCCGGCGTCTACGCTTACTCGATACTGAAGATCAGATGAGTTGGTGAGAATAATGAGAATATGCGAGTAGGAACTCTGGTTGGCAACGATTCAACCAATCAGGAACCCATCGCCTAACAAACATGCAGGAGAAGAAAGTAGAGATGGATTGGACATACACTGATTGGGAACATCATGCGCCAGGCGAGGCGCTCGAGTGGAATCTAAAGGGGAGACGACGAGTTGGGTGTTCGAAGGCGACATGGATGAGATGGTGTGAGGAAGAAATGAAAGCTTATGCGAAGTTGTGGAGCCGGGTTGGAGAGACTGCAGAGAAGAGAGTGAAATGCCGACGTGCTACTGAAGCCCTATATTCCACTAGGAACCCAAGGGACAAATAATAATAACAATAATAATACCGTATTTGTTACATATGCTAACTTGCATAGTTGAAATCCCATCCCATTATTCTATTTGCTGTTTACAATACATATATGCATGTTTCACCTTTATATTTTCTTATCCCTTCAGGGTATTTGCTTATGTACATGGAGACTTGTACACGATGCTCCCACAGGTATCTACGTAGTTCTCGAATTCATGGATGGTTGTTTAAATTCCGGTCAAGGCGTAATATTATTTGTGCTGTTTGGTTTGGATACAGATTTATTCATTTTTCCATTGAAACGTTTGTAAGTTACTGTTTTATTATCGTTACCTTTGACCATAATAATACCGACAACAACAACATTATACGTTTTTCTAAGTCAATTAGGATGTATACAACCATCTCGTAGATTTTGTAATATTTATCACCTACTGTTATAATTGACTTGGTTGTGGCTAGGTTGACACGCCTTTCGCCTTATTTGGGACTTACTCGTCAGCCGAATATACTTACACCCCAGTGAATGATATTGTTTCCATTGAGACTCGAACGTCGTACCCATCACCTCAAACGCTAAAGGGTTGTCAGCTAGCCTACTAAGACATGATAGCCATCTCTTGTACAATGGTTATTAATTGTGATACCTTGTAATCCTCTGTTGTTATACTGAATTGAATTGATCGACCTCGATTGTTCAAGCACATCTAGCTGACAAATCCCAAATGAGACGAAATACATTTGAGTCTGGATTCTGCTGCTGGCCTCAACCAAGTCAATTATAACAATAAATATATATTTAGGCAATATCGAGGCTTCCGCATTGAAGCCCGTTCGCCAACGAACGTTGATCAATTTGATCCAATGTAGCAATGGAGAATTACAAGTATATCAACAAGTAATAATTTTGTTATCATTTTGACTATCTGAGATAGTGGTGGTTCCGCAGGCTGGTAGTGGGTTGATGATTGTAGGTGAAATGAAAATTTTCGGACCATGACGGGATTCGAACTAACGACCACCAGGTTTCCTTGATGATTGGAGTGAAATAAAAATCTGTTCAACAGCCGGGTCTCGTAGCTCAGTTGGTAGATCACCGGGTTGAATACCCGTTAGTCGCTGGTTCGAACCCCGCCTAGGTCCAAACAATATTTCATCGCTTACTCTATATCTTCCGCTTATTTGTTTTTAGTGTCTGATTATCAGTTGTGTCCGTCGCGAACTGATTTCAGTTAGAGAATCAACGAAATTACAGAAGTAGAACCGTCTGTTCGAACCCTGCTCCAGCTGCCTAGGTTTAGGAAACCATTTAGTATCATGAGCCTTCATATAATCGGCGTGGTTCATTGCCGCCTACTTCACGAAAATACACAGGGTTAGATTTGAGAGAATTAGTGAAAACCTAGGATCACTGAGCATCTGTTTCGTCCTCGTATACAACTACTCACCTGTGTGCACCCTAATTCTGCCAGGGATGAAACTCACGACTATTAGGTCTTGTGGTGAGGACTTTACCATCCAGTCACTGTGTTGGAGAATTCAACGGTTCAAATTATATGAACATATACTGATTAATTTGAAGATATGCCTTGTCAACCTCTATCTTGCTAACCAAGGGAAATCATTGAGTATTCATACAATGTTTTGTTTGTGGCCTATGACGTGAGTTGCATCAGGTCGCTGAATTTTGTTGAACACTGACACCATCGTATATGGTCTTGAAAAAAAATTAGTGTAATGTTTAAAATCACTTACACTAGGCATAAATATCACCGGTGACCTTCAGTTTGTAAGCAAATCAACCACTAAGTAAGTACACACTAAGGTGTATAGATGTCATTTGGATAGATACAATCGAAACGAAGCCCTGATGCTTTTTGTCATCCTTATGGAACTGATATCTCGCCTGAGATTCGAGCTCGCATCAACCAGTGATATAGTCAGAGACTGTGACGCTGAGTTATTCGGGCTGTGACTGACCTCCTTTTGTCGAGCCTCCTAGCTTGGTAGCCGCACTGGAAAATCATCAGCACTGAGGACTAGAAGACACATGACTGTTTTGGTCCTAATGAATTCTACAACTAGATTACCGATTTCTTGAAGGTTGTTGCAACTCGAAGTTTTTCCTATCTACAGAAATGGTGCATGAATGCATAAATTGGTAATGTACTTCTTAGTTGTATTGTGTTCTCTGAGCTCGGTTGTTTAATCGTGGAGCTTTCATCGTCCTTCTACACAGTGACATCATAAGCATTAACTTCACTATGAACTGAGCTTTCAGTATGTCTCCTTGACTGATTGAGTAGCTTCCCCTGACCAACTGATTTGTGATTGGTTGTCTCCGTTGATTGTTGTGTCATTGAATGACTCCATAGATTTTCCTTTTGGCTGTTTCACTGTTTGACCTCGGACCTTAATGTCGTTTATCATTTTTCTTATTGGTTGATAGATTGGGTCTACGTCAATACATGTATTAATTACTGACTGACCTGAATTCTAAGCTTCTAGGAATTCTCTGGTATTTCCTCTGTTCGAGAATTCTGTGTTATTCACGTGCAGAGAGTGATGGGTGATGAAATGTCGTGACGTTTAATAGCCAGTTGGTGCTCATGAAGACGACGGCGAAGAGGACGACCACTTTGTCCAACACTATAGTGTTGACTACAATTATTCCAGTTGATTTTGTAAATGATATTCGGTTTCATTAATATAAGAGTAAAACTTGAGCACTGTGGTTGATTGTAATTCCTTTTTAGTCTGTTTATTAGAAATATCATACAGTGAAGAGACAGTAGCATTTACTGGATAACAAGGTTTCGGACACAATTTATTGTCCATATTCATATCACGTCAGGTAACTGCACAACTTTGAGACAGTGTTTATATATTCCTAATTTTCTCTCCTTCTGTATGATGACAAGGTTAGTAGAATTTTGCATATATGTGGGACAGGTGCAGAATCATTTTGATTGCCACATATGTTTGGTGTTGATTCGATAAACATCTGTCCCAGATATATAGAAAATCCTACTACCCTTGTCATCAATTGGGTTTTCAGCTTTCCGGCCTTTGTTCTACTGACTGAAACATCTAATGAATGGTAGTTAGTTATTTAACTGTTTCTCCATTGTGAATTTGATGTCATTGAGAACATTGTTGATCAAACTGTGAGTGTTCTCTTCTATATCATAGTTTTTTAATGGAATGATAATGTGCATTATGAGAAAAAGAAAAAGTATACAACAAGTAAAACGTTTTTTGAAGGCCTTTGACAGCGTCGACCGAGAAGTAAGTTGGAAACTGCTTCACTACTACGGAGTACCGCAAACCTTTATCCGCCTCATTCAACAACTATATGAAGATGCCACATACCAAGTAATTCACAATGGGAAGCTCAGTGATGCTTTTGAAGTGAAGACAGGAGTGAAACAAGGTTGCCTACTATCCCACATGATATTCCTTATTGTGGTCGACTGGATCATGCAGCAAACAGTGGGGAGCGAGAAGAGGGGGATACGCTGGCTGGACTGCGGAAAAGAACCTAGAAGACTTGGATTTCGCCGATGACTTGTGCCTGATGTCACATAAACTTGAAGATCTACAGGCAAAATCCAACAAGTTGATAGAAGAGGCAGCGAAGACGGGATTTCAAGTGAATATAGAGAAGACAGAGGTGATGAAGATACCGCACCACCACCATCAACAACAACAAACTCCAGTCACCGTCAACGGGAGAAACTTAAAGGAAGTGACCTCCTTCACTTATCTAGGAAGCACTGTTTCAACTACAGGCGGGACGGACGAGGACGTCAAAGTCAGAATCGGAAAAGCAAGACAGGCGTTCATTAGCCTGAAACCAGTGTGGAGATCTACTCCACTGTACTCTGCATGCGGAAGAAGATACGGATTTTCAACACCAACGTCAAGTCAGTGCTCTTGTATGGCTCAGAGACTTGGCGCGTCACGAAAGGGATTTCCAATAAACTACAGACATTCATCAACAACTGCTTACGCTGGCTCACTACTGAAGATCAGATGGATTGCCAGAAATAATAACCAACAAGGAGCTCTTGGAACGAACCAACCAAGAACCTATCACCCAACAAATATGCAGGAGGAAGTGGAGATGGATTGGGCATGCACTGAGAAGGCCGACTGGGGACATCACGTGCCAGGCCAGTTGCTCGAGTGGAATCCCCATGGGAAGCGACGAGTTTGACGTCCGAGGGTAACAGGGATGAGGTCGTGCGAGGAAGAAATGAGAGGTTGTGGGCTGTCGTGGAACCAGGTTCAAAGGATCTCAGAGAACAGAGGTCACTGGAGACGTGCTACTGAAGCCGTATGTTCCACTAGGAACCCAAGGGACTAATAATAATAATAATAATAATAATAATAATAGTAAGACGTTTTTAATGCTACACGAAGACTAGTGAATTTCCGGTAATAAAGTTTTGTTCTTAATCATATGACTGTTCATCAACATTGTTACATTATTGAATAAAACTAATTTTTTGAGAGTTTCATCAAAATACAGTACTTGTAATCCCATCATTTATATGTTGAACATTTTCAAAACATAAACTTTTTACTGTTTTTTTATTCATTCATTTACTTATCTAGTTAACATTTTAATAGATGAGATTGTTTTTTTAACAACATTTCGTTTATTTTTCATTTCTATCAAGTTTGACACGTTGGTTCAGTCAATTTTCTGGTAAACTATATCATGGTACATTTTTAGAGTCATTAAATAAAGAAAAGATTGATAAAAATGAAATTGATAAGATTGTTAATCAATTTGTTAAATTCCATTTACAATCATGTTCAAAAAGAATTGGTCATAAGAAAATGTAAGTTTTATATACCATAGTTTATCATGTTCTGGTTTTTTTTGTGATGTGTATTTGTAATGTTGATTCACAGTGAGAGAAGTGGAGTGACACCTTTAAAGTGAAGACATAAGTAAGATAAGGCTGCCACCTATTAACACCGATGGTCTTCCTGAATACAGTGGACTGGATCATGCAGCAAACCGTGAAGAGCTATGAGAAGATGGGCATACTCTGGCTGGACTGCTGAAAGACCCTAAAAGATTTGGATTATAATCTATGATGATTTATATTTAATAACGCACACACTCGAAGATCTACAAACAAAAACCAACAAGTTGATAGAAAGGGGGAAGGCCAGCGAAAACGGGATTTCAAGTGAACATAGAGAAAATAGAGAGAGGTGATGAAGATACCCAATCACCATGAACGGGTGAAATCTGAAGGAAGTAGTCTCTTTCACCTGCCTAGGCAAGGCAGCATCGTTTCGACTACAGGCGGCACAGGCTAAGATGAGTTCGTGAAAGCCAGTCAAGATCGGTAAGACAACAAGACAGGTTTTTTTTTCACTCATTAGTCTGAAATCGGTGTGGAGATCTGCGTGCACTGCAGTGCAATGCAGTGCACTCGGCATAAAGCGTGAACAACATCCAGATTTTCAACACTACTAATGTCAGTCAAGTAAGTCAGTGCTTGCTGCTATGTGATGGTTGAGAGACTTGGCGCGTTATGAAAAGCATTTCCAACAAACTGCAGATATACATCATCAACAGCTGGCGTCTACGCTCATTCGATACTGAAGATGAGATGAGTTGGTGAGAATGATGAGAATATGTGAGGAGGAACTGTGGCTGGTAAGGAACCGGCCAACCAGGAACCTATCACCTAATATATATGCAGGAGAAGAATGTGTAGATGGATTCGATTGGATATACACTGAGAAGACGGTTTGGTGATGTCACGCACCAGGTCAGGTTGTCTATATGAACGGAAATAGGAAACGATGAGTTGGGCGTCCGTGGTGAGGGTGACATTGGTGTAGATGGTGTGAGGAAGAAATGAAAGCTTGTTGAGAGTCGTGGAGCCAGGTTGGAGAGACTGCAGAGCAGATAGTGAAATGGCAAAGTGTTACTGAAGCTCTATGTTCCACTAGGAACCCAAGGGACAAGTGATAATAAATAATAATGTATAAACTTACTTTCAGCTGGTAGATGTTTTGTATGTATATAAGGATTGCTACGAAATCTGGTTGATATCTAGAGTGGAGGTTGAAAAAGGGTTCAGGGGAACCAGAGCGAAAAGTGATACCACTCCATGAAGCCTCTGATTGATTATCTGATCTTTGTAAATAGACTTATTTATAGGGGTCGGCTTGATGATAGGAGTTAGTGGTTGAAGGCAGACTATTGATAACATAACAGAAAATCAGTCACAATAGCGGAGATGTATTGACTCCTTGACATCTAAAGATTGAATGTTCTTAGCAGGTGTTAAGCCAAGAGGAAAAATATGATCATAAATAAGTTTAACATTTCGAGAAAGATAACCAGTGAACACAATCACGTTATTATTATTATCATCCAATTTGAACTATATCTGATTGAAGATGTTCAGGAGATTAGCCAGGATTCCAACCGGTAGTAGTACATAGTTTTGGTCTAATCTAACCCTTACCCTAAGAGATTCTAATTTATATATATGTTAGTATAAAATAGGCAACCAATCCGATAGCATCGAGTATCGTTTAGTCGTATAGTTTTATGGCTTATCACTGTTATCTAGAAATAATATTTTACAAATTATTGTCTATATTTTTCTTACTAAATAATTTTTATCTCCACTATTTTTGTTGTGTGTTTCTTTTTTTTTAATATTTCCAGTGTTAACTCAATTCATTATGATAATGTATTTTATCATTTTGCTCTTGAAGATTGGTTAATTGCTGCTGGTATTACAAATACTCATGAGAATGCTACATTCTATATAAAATGTCTTGAACTTGGCAATATTATTGTGTGTATTTCTCCTTTAGTGAATACATCTTCAATGATGATGATGATGATGATAATGAGTAGTAGTGATTCACAACGTTTATTAACATTTACTAATTATGCTTGGGATCTACAAAATATAACCTATTAAAATTTGATATAAATTTATGATTATTTTCCTATCTCTTATTGATTTTGAGAATTTTCCTTCGGTGAGATATAATGAATGTCAAGCATTTTTATATACAGATATGATAGTTAAATTGAGTAGAACCAACTGGTTACATCGACATTAGATTATTTTTTGTTGTTTAGGTTTATATACGCTTTTTTTTTCTCTTCTTTTGCTTACATTTATCTAGACATAACTCCTTTATTTTATTTTTTTGGTTTATTTCAGTTAATTCATATTTATCAAGTGTTTATTGTACTTCGTTTTTTGTTTATTTTCGTATTATATGTTGTCATAACTAATATGAATTGTGTTTCTAGTCTGTATTTGTGATAAAAATTAGTTTTGTAATATGTACACATTTTTCTACAGAAGTTTTTAACAAAGGTTAATCTGTTCGAGAATAAACAACAGTTTGTTTACACATAATTCATCTCCACTTTACTCATTTATTATCAGAACAAGATATATATATTGTTTTCCATGGGACCCTCTTCAGGCTTTACTCATTGTCATTAATATAAGTGGCTCAATGGTAACGCGCTGGTCGCGGGTTCGATCCCTGCTGGTGGGGTCGTGGATGCGCACTGCTGAGGAGTCCCATACTAGGACGAAACAGCTGTTCAGTGCTCCCAGGTTTCCTTTGTTCCTCCAACTGATGTCGGTCTTCGATGAATAACAACTTGAAATATTTCCAAATATCCACAGCCCCCTCAAAATTTAATTGAACTAGTGCTCGTTGGTGGAGGGAGGGAGAGATTGAATCTTTGTTTATCGAATCAACACCAAACACATGCAATCGAAATGACGCTGCACCTGTCCCAGATATATATAAAATTCTACTAACCTTGTCATCATACAGAAGGAGAGAAAATTAGGAATATATAAACACTGTCTCAAAGTTGTGCAGTTACCTGACGTGATATGAATATGGACAATAAATCGTGTCCGAAACCTTGTTATCCAGTAAATGCTACTGTCTCTTCACTGTATGATATTTCTAATAAACAGACTAAATCAACCACAGTGCTAAAGTTTTACTCTTATATTAATTTTGAGGGGGCTGTGGAGATTTGGAAATATTTCAAGTTGTTATTCGTGGTAGACTGACATCAGTTGGAGGAACAAAGGAAACCTGGGAGCACTGGACAGCTGTTTCGTCCAAGTATGGAATTCCTCAGCAGTGCGCATCCACGACCTCGCCAGGGATCAAACCCACTACCTTCAGGTTCCGTGGCCAGCACGTTACCATTGAGCCACTGGCTTGGCGGAACCCAATGGTCCACATTTCCAACTTCCGTTAGCTCACGATATAGCGCAACCACCACCCGATGTCAACATTGAGTAACTGTCCTCGCGACCATCAGGCTTTGCTCAACGTTGACATTGGGTGGTGGTTGCGCTATATCGTGAGCTAACAGAAGTTGGAAATATCGGCCATCGGATTCTGACCCAATGGCTAGCTCAATGGTAACGTGCTGGCCACGGAACCTGAAGGTCATGGATGCGCACTGCTGAGGAATTCCATACTTGGACGAAACAGCTGTCCAGTGCTCCCAGATTTCCTTTGTTCCTTCAACTGATATCAGTCTATCATGAATAACAACTTGAAATATTTCCAAATTCTCACAACTCCCTTAAAAAAAATATATTTCTAATCGATTGATTCTCTGCACAATATACAAATTTTTCATGGATATAATAAAATAAGGTTTGGTTCAAGTTATCTCACTTTACAGCAGCATATAAGAAATAAGTGGGCAGAAAAAGATTGATATTGAAGTGGATAGACGAGTATGAGAGGAGAAAGGATTTGAAGGATGAATAGATCGGCTCCATTATAACCGATTTTTGCACATATCACTAAGTTCCTTAAACTATTGAATCCTGTTATCTTGAGAACTCCGTCTAGTCAGTCTACTTCTACACACATTACTCAGACTAACAATCATGAACTAATGTGACCACTGTGAGCCTTCTTCCAAATCAATACTAATTCACCTTCTATAGTACTCTCCGCTTAGCGTCAACATTGCTCACATTGCGATTAACCTGCACGTGAGTAATGCTACAATGATACCTGTGGTTGAAAACTTCTGAACTCTCTGTTTCTTCAGGTTTCGACGACCACGTCTTGGTATTATAACAGTGCTATGACCGGTAGTACGACATAGCAGTCTACCAGCGATTTGAACCTAACAGACTACGAAGCTAAGCTTCAAATAAATCGACTCTAACACAATCAGGACGTCAACCACGACCGCCACAATGATACCACCGACGAGCGAAGACAAGAGGAGAAGGAATATCGTTGGCAGAGAGCTTTTTACTGTCTCAACAATAGGCAATAAAGTTGACAGCGGTGCTGAATGTATACATTTTCAGGTGACCTTGAAAATACTAAATCCACATAGAAAAACTACCAACGGTGTGAAAACAGCTACGTAGGTTATTTTAAGGTTATGGGCAAAATAGCAGGAAATGTTATGCAAAAGTAGAGGTATATAGCAAACAGAACGAACAGCTGTGCAGTGAATTTGTTCTTTGAAGTGTAGTCTGACATCAGAGATATCATAAGCATGCAGATGCCAAACGCTTTTTTTCTGTATTCTAGCTGAGGTTTCATTGAACCATTTCACTCTCTATCGTTAAACAGGGAGTAGTTGAAAACCAGTCCCGGTAACATCATTTTACATTTAAGAGCTATAAAACGCTTGCCGAACATACTTAAATTTAGTGTGATCGATAGTCTATGATGGATGTGGCGAAGAAACAGGTTGTGAATACTTCTTTTGAACGTATAATCATAGTTTGAGTTCTTGAATCGCTAATGCTTCAGCTATGCCCAGGAGTCAAATATCCTGAGATTACAAAGTGTTCTTTTATAGAACCGAGGATACGTTTTCTTTCTCTCCTAGTTAGCCAACTTGGATAGTGTTTGCGAGCACGTCGCATAAGTTGGTACATGATACGGTCGATGTATTTGGCTTCAAAGGAGCAAGTAAACTGTGGCCTAATGCTTCAGCTTATCCTTTGAGTCCTGACGGATGAGTTTCTGACAGGGTAATGTGATTCTAATATTGGTAATAAAGAATATTTTGTTTATGAGCCTTGGAAGTCTCGTTTTAAGAATATCGGCGGCATTATCTGCTTTGAATTCGAGGTTCAACAATAAAATCCACTTCGGAACAGTATGCACGCGTCCTATGGCATTTGTCGGGTTCAGATTCTTATATATGAACTTCATCAGGATTTCTCACAAGTTTTTTAGTTAATCATAGATGGCATCCCCCACGTATATTCTTCATATTCTTTAGGTGAGTAAATCGATAAGATTCCTTTTTCTGCTTAAAGGCAGACAGCTTTGAAAATTAATAAACTGCGCTCCCATCAAGTAGGCTTTTTGTAAATAGATCTCTGAAATGAACTGTCATTTTTCTTTGAAGTTGGATGTCAAGCGAGTAGAATTTAGAATTTGACTCTTCTTTTAGAGTGATCACTACTAAAGGTTTGAAACGGGTTTTCGAGATTTATATTCTCGTCACAAACAATGAAGTTTTCATCCATGTAACTTCTGTGGTTATGAAGCTTGCCATAAAACAATTAGCTAGCAGGGTCCTACAAGTGATCCAACTGTCACCCCATTTATTGTACATAGATTTCCTTGTTAAATCTGAAGGGCACGTTGAAAGAACATCTGAGAAGTTCCTTTAGATAGTGATTTGGGTTACTAATGTTTAATTTATGGAACAGAGTATAGAATAGCAGTCAACTCTCTACTTCAGCTTCATCGACTTTGAAAAGGCCTTCAACAGCATCCACCGAGAAGTAATTTGGCAGCCAGTTGCTTCAACACTACGCAGGACCACAAACATTTATCAACCTCATTCAACAACTATAGGAAAACGCCACATACCAAGTGATTCACAATGGAAAGCTGAAACACGCCTTTGAAGTGAAGACATGAGTAAGACAAAGCTGCCGCCTACTCTCATCGATGATCTTCCTGATTGTGATCGACTGGATCATGCAACAAACTGTGAGGAGCGAGATGATTGGCATAAGCTGACTGTTTGACCGATGAAAAGACACTAGAAGATTTGGATTTGGCCAGTGATGATTGATGTCTAATGTCTTATGTTGCACAAACTCGAAGATCTCCAGGCGAAAAATTAAAACAAGTTGACAGAAGAGGCAGGGCAGTGAAGAAGGGACTTCAAGCTGTTGTAGAGAAGAGAGATGGAGGTGATGAAGATACCCAACCAACAACAGCGCCGACAACAGCACCAACAACAAGCACCGATCACCATTAATGGGAGAAACTTAAAGGAATTAGTCTCTTTCACCTACCTACCTACCTACCTACCTACCTACCTACCTACCTACCTACCTACCTACCTACCTACCTACCTACCTACCTACCTACCTACCTACCTACCTACCTACCTACCTACCTACCTACCTACCTACCTACCTACCTACCTACCTACCTACCTACCTACCTACCTACCTACCTACCTACCTACCTACCTACCTACCTACCTACCTACCTACCTACCTACCTACCTACCTACCTACCTACCTACCTACCTACCTACCTACCTACCTACCTACCTACCTACCTACCTACCTACCTACCTACCTACCTACCTACCTACCTACCTACCTACCTACCTACCTACCTACCTACCTACCTACCTACCTACCTACCTACCTACCTACCTACCTACCTACCTACCTACCTACCTACCTACCTACCTACCTACCTACCTACCTACCTACCTACCTACCTACCTACCTACCTACCTACCTACCTACCTACCTACCTACCTACCTACCTACCTACCTACCTACCTACCTACCTACCTACCTATCTACCTACCTACCTATCTACCTACCTACCTACCTACCTACCTACCTACCTATCTACCTACCTACCTACCTACCTACCTAGGAGATAGCGTCGTTTCAACTACAGG